GGTGCTTGTGTCGATTGGAGTCTTGTAGGCCGAAATACAAGAGTGGGTTGGGCTCCCGGGTTGTGGAAGCAAACCTGCCTGCAACAGAGAAGGCGGTGTTCTATTTCCTACGGTATCCCGCTCAACTTTTTTTTTTTTGCGACGTGTGGTTGCATATTTCTTTGCCACTGCCCAAAAAGACCGCTGGATCTTTACGCAATATGTATCCATCTTTCGCATTTATCATTTTACACCGAACGACGCAGGACGGGTCGACCTTCATCATTGTTGTGTTTCCGGACACTCACCACCATCCTTCCTGGATGTTGGCCCCCAGCCCCATTGGGCGGCGCGGCCAATCCTTAACCCTAGTATGTATCCTCACAGGATGGTCGTCGTGACGTGATAATTTCTTGTTATTAGTATGGACAAAAATAATAAAAAAGATGGCTCCATTATTGTATTTCTACAGCAGTATGGACCAGACGCCGACTATACATAGAAGTCGTAAGAGTGTCGACTTAGTTATGCTGCCACAGCATCGTCCATGCACTTCTGCCAGTGCTGGTTTGTTGATCGGAGTCTTCTAGGTCGAGATACAGCAGTGGGATTCTCGGGGTGTGGAGGCAAAAGTGTGAACCAGAGCCAAAAAATTGAATGCACAGCTCGATTACTGCGGTATTCCGGCAACAGCAGTATGGACTAGACGCCGAACGACGTCCGCGTACTACGGCAACGACCTAACTGGATGGGATACTTCCTGCCACGGCGAACCATAGTACCATGCGATACAATCATCCGTTCGTGTGTCGTGCGGCTGCCACATGTGTCGATGAGAGGTACACGTAGAGCTCTCGCCACGTTGTCGTTACCGCGCAGGAAGACCCCTCGGAGATCTTCCACATGGTGCTGCTACTACTGTACATCGATGTCATAGGAGAGTGGAGTTGTGTTGTCACGGCATCTTCCACGCACTCTCCTACCGGAGCTTGCGTCGATTGGGGTCTTGTAGGCCGAAATACAAGAGTGGGTTGGGCTCCCGGGTTGTGGAAGCAAGCCTGCCTGCAACAATAGAGAAGGCGGTGTTCTATTTACGACAGTATCCCGCTAAATTAGGGTTAGTTGCGACATGTGGGTGCATATTTCTTTGCCACTGCCGAAAAAAATCGCTTGATCTTTACTCAGTCCATCTTTCGCATTTATCATTTTACACCGAACGACGCAGGACGGGTCGACCTTCATCATTGTTGTTGTTGTTGTTGTTGTCATCGACGGAACCAAGCGACCGTAAAGGTAATCCGCGGCGAAAGAGGACTTTTCCGCCGTTGACAGCGTACCCTTATCTCTTAGAGTTGCAATTACCGCATATACCGTGGTGCATTCCCATTCCTGTGCTGGTCGAACGTTTTGGTGCAGGAAGGAACACTTCCAAAACATCGCACGGAAATGGGTGTAGAGCATAGGCTGAGGAACCAAAGATCCACAACCCGACGTGGGGCCATCCACCCCTTTGAGGGGCGAAGGGCTCGTTGTCCTCCCCAGTAAGCATTACCTTAAAGGAAGGCGAACAGAGAGAACTCGCAAACGCTCTCCTACGCCTATAGGATTAGGTGTAGCTCACTGTAATTCGGTCTATGAACAGCCGGCCTTTCTATTTTTCCACGGCGTATGCCACCCTATCGTATTCGACAACTCAGACCACCAGGTCCCCAAATGGTACTCATTATTTCCCTTCCGTTCCTTCAGCTTCGCAAAAGAAATGAGTGGGCGGGCGGGAAAGAACACAACTTGTGGCCTCGGATTCCGCCCAACCCTATCCGATAAAGCCCGGAGGTAAGAAACGTCATAATCGGGCAGAGGGACCAGCCGAAGTTGGTCAGTTTCGTGTCACGGGCTTCTTATTGCTTTGGGCTATCGCAGCCTGGTGGTTCTCATATATGGTTGATAGGGCGGGGTAATGAGCCGCGGGGTAGCGACCCAATACCCTACGGTAGTCTCAGCTGCGATGCTGATGGTGCGCAAATATCTACCCACACAGCAGCGTGGATCGTTGGTGGTGTAGCTACGCGTGCACCAGAGGGACAGGGGTGGGTGCGACGGGCGCGACGATGGTTGTACGTGCGCCCCCCGCTCAAAGTTTGCACGTTACATGTGGTTGATTCTATTCCGTTGATGCACACATGGACACACCCACGAAGAAAAAAATGAACGTGAAGTCTTCCCCGTGTGCGTACGCCAACACGCACATACATTCAGGCATCGGGAACAGGCACGCATGCGTCATATACCTGGCGGCGAGCGTATCACACATCACATCGTCGAGGAGAACGACCAGCAGCGTAGACATGTAATTGTGACAAGACAGATGGAAAATAATGCGTCTGGCTCAAGCCTATCGAATTTCCCGCCAAACGAACGCAAGCAGTATACAAATGGTACCTATACGTCACCGGACATTTCCACAGCAGAACCAAGAGTAACAACGCCGTTGCCGGGCATGACTTAAGTGCGAAAGGCCCGCCAGCAGCAACCGTAGGTAGGGCACGGCTTTTGCGAAGACAGTCAGTAGCGCGACGCAAGTACGGGACCTGAACCGATAGCACAGCAGCAGTAGACCCTCACGCCCTCGACGGGTTCTCTCGGGAGTAGGTGCGATCTGGACTTGATAAGGTGTGTTATGTTGTGTGTTGTTCGTTTGTGATCATCGGTCTGCTGCTGTTTTCGGAGCAGTCGGTTTGACCCACTCAACACCAATGAACACCCGCCAGGTTAAACATGGCGCATGACTATACCCACGGGGAACAGGTCGTAAAGGCCCGGCCCCTCCTGGTTGTCCTAGACAGCTGGTCTCGGATCAGCGTGCCAGCGGTGATGTAATTTTAGGAGGTGTTGTTGTCTCTGTCTGTCTCTGTGTCTGTTCAGGTTTCAATAGCGCGCGCGCTCGCGACCTCCGCCTTTGTACACGCCTATTCGCGGAGAAACCCCGGGGTTAAGGAGAAAGATCTCTTACGAATGTAGGGCGCGAAGGATTGTGTAGCACGGCTATTTGCTATCGGAGCACGACCAAACCAGTGTGACGAAGAGCGCGCTATTTTTCTTCTTACTTAGAAGCGAACAGATCGTCCACCGGTGCCCCGTGGATACCGTTCTGGTCCAAAAGATGACTCATTTCGTCTTTCCCGTAATCAAGTTTTGGGGCCCCTGTATTGCGCGACGCAACTTTGGCCGATCTATTGTTGTTCTTGTTGTTGTTGTTGTTGTTGTCTTCACAGTAAAAAACCCCGTTCCGGTCTCCACTCAGTACCTTCTACTGTCCGTAACGGTCGAACTGAAGTATAAAATGGACACAAGGAAATTCCTCCAAGGCGTGATTTGTTATCCAACCCAAAAGGGATCAACAGCAAGGAAAACCATAATCGGGACAAAGAGACGATCGATGTCCCCGGTGAAAGGGATGGAATAACGAAAGGCCCAAAGAAAGAAACAGAGAGAGATCAAGACAACAAAAGAAATAACGGCAGATAGACAGGTCCGCTCCAACGCTCCAGTCTACCCGAACAACACGAAGCATGGGCCACTACTAACCCGACACCAGACAGATACAAACGTACCAACTTACGACGACACAATATCACTTCAGGGGCATTGCGAAGGGGGAGATAGCGCCACGACGGAAAACAATACGGGGATACATCCAGCTGGTATCCGTTCAGCCATCTCCGTGCTGCTCTCTTCTGGTTAAGGCGAGTCTTCCGTCTTTCGACGTTTCCCCCCCCGTGTTCCCGTCCTCCCCTGCTCTGCTGTTCGTTTCGTCTTCTGTCCAGTGTTTTTCTTGTTCCGTTCCTCCGCGCGTAGTACGCTTAGCTTCTCTTGCTCCTTGTCCTATTTGACCGTCAACTTCTTTGCTCCCTCCATAACCCTTTTGTACCACGGCACCCCTTTCTCCAGCTTCGCTGCGAACGGCCAGCAGCCGCGCGGTATCCCGAACATCCTCAGGTTGCCAGCCGTGGATTGGGCATTGGCACCGAACTCTACAAAGTCGTCCTTCAAGCATAGCACCCAGTTCTTTTCCGGCCGCCCTTCGATATCTCCGAACATCAGTCGCTTCGGGAGTCGTCCGTTGGATTGTCTGGATACTGCTTCAGCAAACAGTGGTTGCCGTTATCTATACAGCCGATTTTTTCCGTTCTGGGGACGAACAAATAAAAGTCGCGCTCCGCGGCTGATAAAAACAACACACCAACTCTTCATCAGCATTAAACTGACAACTCGATGTGGCGAACGTTGGGCGCTGTGGCAGTACAGCAATACAGCAGCAGTGTGTAGCGTAGGCGCTGGGGCGCGGGAGGCGCCGTGAGAATTGCCACCTCCCCCCCTACCACAATGAAAAGTACTGACAAGAGCTAGGTAGGGGGTAGGAGCATGGCAGCAGAAGCAGCCGTGGGACGTTATCGGGGGGCCCATCTCTAGTATTTCTCTCTCTCTCAGTCCACCTACTACAGCGGTAAATATTTCGTGTTTTCACGCTGGCTAATAGTGTGCCTGCTTGCACGTCAAGGAACGAAACGCCTCTGTCTATTTAGACTGCCAATTCCACCGTAAAAAATAACGGTGGTTGGCCTCGGCTACACCGTTGTGCCTAAACACTCGCTTCGTCGAGTACACCTTTATTGAATCACACACAAAGAAACATGGGCACTGATTGCTTGCAGGTCGTCTGTTGTTTTTTTACCGGCAGCACCACCTACTAAATATAACAGCAGGAACACAATCAACACGTTTCACACGGACCCGCGATGCGTGACGAAAACTTGCAGGTGCAACTGTCCATTGCCAACAGCAGAATTGGTTTTGTTCAGCTCTGCCGCACACCACAACCATGAAGGACGTGTTGTTGATACATGTTTCTCTCACCATACCGACAACTGCATTTTGCCTGCTCTGTCGTCGGGTACGAACTGGCCAAACAAGGAGACGCGAACGTGTGATTCTTACGACCTTGGGCCCTACTACCCATCACAATGGGCTTCTGCAACTCATTTGCTGGAATGGCGGCGATGGCGATCGTGACATCCTCCGCAACGACGGCGAAAAACGTGTCTCTCGACCTGTTACCTTTGGAACCGCTGCCGGCGATTTCGCCGGAAGCAGTGTGCGCTGACTGGGCGGCCTGGGTTCCCCCCATGTCGGGCCCCACGGTTGTGATGCAGGTATGTACGAGAAAGTGGACTCTCGTCATCCCACAAATGATGATACTCCCGCAATTTTGTCGTCGCTTGGACGTTTAGTTGTCGATCGGTCAGGTTAGATCATGGCTGAAATGATGGAACCACAACATCCTGATTGGACTTGCCGTGTTGACAGCGTGTTTCACGGTGGTGGAGTTGTCCTTCATTTATGAACCGATCACTTGGAAACCAGACCATTGTGCTTATCAATCCGCCAGACGGTACGAAGCGAGGCGAAACTCACACGATACATAGCGACCACAGGGTTTGTCCTGCTGTCGTGCTGCTACAATATTTTTGTCCCTTCGTGCCCTGCTATGATTGAAGCAATTCAAAAGTTCGACTTTGCGCCTGCCCAGGTAGTGAGCGGAACGTATATCGATGTGGAGCGCAACTTCATCTATTGGATGGAGCTCAGGACTTCATTCACTCGCAACGACCTCTACCTCTTGTGCTTGGACGACGACTCTCTCCATTTCTTCGAATCTTCCATGGGGATCCGTTGCCTTCCTCTTAGCAGGCTCAACATAAAATCGCACGCGGAAATCTGGGTAGTTCGCGTCCGCGTGCTATCTTGCTTGGTAAGCAGGGCGTGTCGTGGGCGTGGACGAATGGAAAATTTCCTGAAGGACATGATCTAGAGACGCGACAAAAAATTACCGTGGCTGCCGAAATTGCAAGCACTTGGTGTTGAGAACAAGCTGTTCACCTACCTCTGCATTTTTTGGCCGAATTCGTTGTTTGCCGCTGCACCGAGTTATCCATAGAACGATCAACCCAGGAACAGATGGTATGATCCTGCAGAAAAGCAATTTCGCAACGGAGGCGTAATTTTACGGAAAGGAAGCGCTCCGCGATGCTGATGACCCGGCAATGAGCGAGCCTCGTGTTTATGCCGTGAATCTGACTCCACACGTACCGTCTCGACTACCCCCGCCCGTCGACGATCGTCTCAGGTGGAAGCAGGTCATGATGTCATGATGTCGGATGCAGATGCCTTGTGGCTGGCGGACCCCATGAAAGACTTCTCGCTCCCTGGCGTTGTCGGCAGCAGCATCGTTGCATCTAGGGGAAGTTTTCCGGGAGAAGTTGGTCACGTGTGGGGCGCAACCATATGTATGGGTTTCATTTTGTTTCGAACGACTGCGAGCCGCGTCGCCATGCGAGAATTCGTCACCGTCATGAACGCGCTAGTGCTCGAGGAGAAGGACGACCAGATCGCGGTGTGTATGTTGTTTGTTTTTTTACGCCTTTTTCGTGAGAGCCAGATACTTGGGTGCAAACATGGACAGGATAGTTCAGCGCTGTTTCCTTGTTGCTTGCGCCAGTTTGTGTTTTGAGTCACGCGTTGCATCGCAGTGAAAAGCTGTATCTTCATGAATGATGATGGCCCTACCAACGGCTACGGACTGCACTCGCCTCAGGTGAATATAGCGGCGCGAGACTTGGGGATCGTGTGGAACCAGGAGGACAGTGACATGCGCTACACGGAAAGCACTGGTTTTGGTGTGGGGTTCATCGATTCGCTTTCAGATGACGACAATCAACCCTTCACTGTGACGTTATTGCCTCACAGCGCCTACACACGCATCTGTGCGAGTACGCCCGTTTCGAACACAACCGTTGTGGCTCATTGTATATCGTCGAAAACACCTCAAAGTAAGGCTGACTGGATGCACAGGATGGACCTCTGGGCAGTCGACGAAGATACCCGCTGAATGAGCACCAGGGCAGGGCGAGCGAATAGGGTCTGTCGATTGCTAGAGTAGCCCGTACTGTGGAAAAAAATTGGGCCCCCACCCCCCAATGTAGAGGGCGGAAAGAATGTAACAGATGTGATGAAGGCGAAGAATTAATGTGAAGGGTGCTCCGAACTCGTTCTATGCTCTCCAAGAGGGTGAAGGGTTTTGTCCATTGGTATGGAACAGGTAAAATTGCGTCGACATCCTCACCGTCCACATGATCACCATCCATCGAGTAGACTACAATATGCATAGCAGACAACAGACACACCGCTCGGTAGAAGTCATCTCCAAACATGGGGTGCCCTACCTTATTTGTCAATTCTATGGAACTCCGTGGACTATTTCATGGAATTCCATGGACCTCCACGGAAAGCCATGGAATATTCTTTGGAGTTCCATGGACGTCCACGAAATATTCCATGGGGTTCTACGGAGTTCCATGGATTTTCACGGAGGTCCATGGTATTCCACGGATATCCGTGGAACTCCATGGCGTTCCATGATACTCTATGGGTCTCCATGGAGTTCCGTGGTGGTATTGGCCATGTGGAGCTCAAGCGCCATCGGCACGTCGCCAAGCATGGAATCCGCTTCGTGTCACTTGTGCACCCCCCCCCCACACATTCAAAGCACGCAATGTACACCGCACGAGAGCAACGACATCGAGGGGCATTTCTTGGGTCATCTGTGCAGTCCAACAATAAAGCGCCAGCAACTTACATGTATCTACCAAGCACACAAGCTACTCAGAGGTATTGTGAACGCAACGAAAAATAAACGCTTTTTTTCACGAAACGGTGACAGAGAATTTCCGACTATTTTGCGCTTGTTCCAATCGTGATGTCATCGCGAACAGTTCGTTTCCTTCCCTGAATACACGTTTTGCTAGACACACAACAGGTTGACATGGTATTGCTCACCATAGAGCAGCGGTGAAAGCGCAATGAGCAGCACCCGACACAGAGGACAAAGATCCTGTCCACCTGGCCTGCTGTTTCAGTTTTCAGCAATAACAGGCGCAGGGCAGAGTGTCGCCACCTGGGTGCTGCTTGCGATTTATTCAGTTTGCCAGCTCATTTTTCACGGTTGCGACTCCCATCTTTGACCACCACCTGCGCAAAGGTAGACGAGCTCGACAATCATAGCGCGGCAGCCGCGCTGACGGCCAGCATTATATAGATGGCCAATCCGAAAGAATTAGCGTGTCGGAGGCCCTGTCGCTCGACTGCTGCGTAGTTCCGTGGATTGATGTTGATGCGTCCGACCAAAAACGCATCATCTCGCCGCATTTTTTCCAACGGCAGTTTGGTGAGGTGGCACACGTCTCTCACACACTTTATTGAGCAGCACCCAAGCACCCAATATCCACGAAGCAGCACGGCGCCGGGAGATGGTATCATATGGACAGCCGAACCGAAGGAATCAGCGCGTTGGAGGTCTTCCTGCTGCTGCTGTACTCCTTCTACTGTTTCCGTGTTTTGCTATGTGTGATTGAAAAATATCCCCAAGCACCAACAGCAGCAGTTGAAGACGAGAGCACCACGCAATGCCTCGTTTTGGGCCAAGAACGGACTGAACGCCGCTTCTTCCGCTTGTCCATCTCCACAACAGACCTGGACGTGAGTCTGGCAGATTTTTCTAGCGTTCTCAGTGATGTTACAGCGTCCGCGGTGCGCTTGTCCGATGCTTCTGTCAAAAACACGGATTCGTGAAAGTAGCAAGCCCCCAACCACCCGGCTACTTCTTTTCACGCTTTCGGGGAAAAACGCCTCCATATGTGTTCAAGAAAACACGGTTTCGCTTTTTTTTCGTGTTTTATTGGGCAATAAGAACGACCGGTCACCCACGTAGAAGTAGATTTTTCCGCACACAAACATGACACCAATGAACAGTGCCGTCATGCCCACAACACCAACGTCAATATCCTACCGCCTTCCTAAGACATCACCCCGAAGTCGAAAGACTGGAACAGTGTACCCGGCAAACCTCGGGTAGTCAGTGTGGGTAATACCTCCGGCGTGTGTTCATGCATCGAACACTCGGACACAGTTTTCCTCAACGTTGTTGTCGGTGTAGCCAATACCGTCACAAGTGTCACAAATTTTCGTTGTTCTTGAACTGTATTCCGTACCTCTACTCGACGCAATAATTGGTACAAACCAACACATGACATTGACCTCTGTTTTGTCACGCCCAACGTAGACAATATTATTGTATCTCACATTTCATTGACCCTGTGGGGTTCGTTCGCCATCCCCACGCCTCCTAGCATGATGCCCCTTTGCTCCAGTTGTACCTTATTGCCACTTGTCTCAAGTATATGGCAAGGGATGGCAAGCTGTACACGCGTACCCCCTCATTCACCGCACAAAATGAACACCCGAGGAATACACCAACATCGAGACAGACCTCTCCCGGGTCGTCTGTGCTGTGCAGCCAATAACCGCCGCTGCAACGCCTTGTACCATGTATCCATCAAGCACTCAAACAACAATCATCACCCGAACATCCACTTCACGATGAACTACATAGGGTCACCCACGTTGTAGAACATTTGTCCAGCATCCAAACCATACAACCAATGCACACAGCCTGATCATGCACCCAACATCAAAGGTGACAATCCCACCACCTTCCCAACACATTAACCCCAAACCGAAAGACTGCAACAGCTTCCCTTGCAGAATACTTCATATTCCTTGGGTGGTCTATAAATAAATACCTCTCGCGTATGATCATGAGTCGGTATGTGCGTTACTGGAGATCCCCCTTTCAAAGGGCGGCATCTGGAGTCTAGATCAACCTGGGTTGCCGACCCTGTGTGACCAACATTCACCTTTCAACGGGGCCGGAGGCAGCAAGTAAAGAAGCACGTAAAATAAAGGGCCAAATAGTTTCAACCAGCAGGAAAACGGTGGCCGACAACAGAAGACGGCCTCGAGACATGAAAGCAACATGAACGTTGCCAATTGGAATGAAACATAAACCGACCCCGCCAAGGACAAATGCAAGGAAGTTCATTCGACGCACCACCCTAACCAGTTGAAAAGAAAGCAACCAACTCGCACAAGGAAAAACACGAATCCCCGAAGGAGTTCATCCCATCTTCGGGGCATGTCGTGCTTCGGTAAACGTGGTCGCGTCAGGAAGGCTGCGTTCGCGGTAGACTTCCAGCTCATCCAACCACCTGGTTGTTTCCGAGAACATTTGAACGTGCACGGCAAGCGTGGACGAGAAGGTCCCAAGTTTGTTGTTTGTTCCCCCTTCTTGTCAAAACGATTGTACTGGAACACGGGCCTATCGGTGAGGTTTAGGCCCCATTGGGAGTGGCAGCCTGCAACAAAGTTGTAAACACACCAGACAAAAAGTATCACCGGGCTTCACATAAATCCCGCTCATGCCCCCCCACCCCCCTTCCGTCCTACAGTACTCGTGTAGGGTGGGGAGCCTGAGGTTTCAGGGGAACGGCGTAATTTCATACGAAGCGTATTTCCCGCTCTCGGTAATACGTATCCACAGTCGCGATTATCGAGAGCGCACTGGGGCTTCACAATCTACACGTTTTATTGTGATGCGGGCGAGGGTCAAAGCTGGCAAGACATGCACGGACATTCCGTAAGCACTGCCCTTCGCACAGTGGTTACGAGGGTCAACTGAGTACGAGCCCCGGCAACAGCCCTTAGTTGTTCTGAAGGTACGCAAAGGCGGAGATACGACCAAGACCACGCAGTCTCAAGGCCTTCATACGCTCGCGTGCATCCGCGAATTTGATGAGCGTGCCTATGGTGGGATTGCGAGTCGCTCCCATGGCTTCGATGCAGGCATCATACTGGTCCAATTCCGGGTCCGCTGCAGATAATAGACGTGTTTTCGGGCACGGAGTGCAGGGGAATATCTTTCACCGACAGAATAAATTTGTGTTTAGGTCCTGGTTCAACCTTTTAGTGCACAAGCTAGCGCCGCGGCCCCTCGCGGGGTGGGTGGATGAGGGTTACCCGCCCCCGTCTATGCTCCTGTTCTGTAACGCAGCGTACGACAGACTGCGATAACGTAAGAAGCGAAGGGGCCCTCTGAGGAGGGGGGGGTCCCCCAGCGCTCGTGGCGTCGACCCAAAATTACAATGCGTTGCACTGTTGCTGAAAAGTACAATCCGGCAATCAACGGCAAAGTATCAAGCAGTGGTGAACGACATTTCGTACAGGATGTGTGTACATGAACGTAATGAAATAGTGGTACAACCGGACATCTCTCTCTATATAAAAATACTAGGGTTAAAAATACTAGGGTTAAGGATTGGCCCCCCGCCCCCCAATGGGGCTGGGGGCCAACATCCAGGACGGGAGGGCGGAAAGAAGAAGACGGAGGGGAGAGGATTGTAGGGGCGGGAAGAAGGGACGGTGTTGGGAGAGGCAAGAAAGTGGTGAAGAACTTCGGCACTCGACGAGCGCGCGGTCCCGTCGGGGGTGAAAGGGACATGTCAGTCCGTAGTCTTGTCTATCGGAATCAAGAAGCCGAAAAATGGACGATGGAAAAGGCCGACGAGGAAGGTACGAAGAGACGAAATTGCACCCCACGTTCGAAGTCAGTGTGAAAACCGTCGCAAGGAAGGAGTGCGGAGGGAACAAACAAAAAACGGAGACGTCGACGTTTGCGTCGCGGAACGATCACAGGTGGAGGTCGAACCCCCTTGGGGACTTTTCGGCAAGGGGGGGGGGGGGTCATCGGCAAGGTCGAGCCCCTGAAGAGTCCGTTGGGTTGTCCAACCTCCGTCCCTTCACCAACCTTGGCAATCCCCGACAGAAAAACGGTTTGACAAACTCATTGCCTACGATGTGCTTGCCAAGCTCGTTCGCGTACGTGAGATTGGCAAGGCTAGATATAGCCAGCGTGCGATTGGCGATTGGCAAGGTGGTTTTCGAACTTGAGATTGGCAAGGCTAGTGCGGGAACGTATGATTGGCAAGGCTCATTGCC